ACACAATCTAAAATTTTAAATAAATTTCTACCGGTGTGCGGGTACTCAAACAATTCAAACGTAATCGTACGCTTCATCATTACCCAATTAGTTGGATTAATCCAATGAGCGGTAACACAAAGGTACGCATCCGGTGAACCGTGAGGAGCCGTCCAAACATCACAAGTTAAATTCACACCGGTTTCTAAAGATTGAAATCCTAAAATCATTTCATTTTTTGCAAGTTTCCACATTTCAATACAATCACGTCTAATAGAAGTACGACTCACATGGCAATATCGTGGTTGGAGAGTATCTTGGATGAGTGAAGTCAATCGTATGTTGTCGAAGTGGTCAAAAGGCAAGCATTCTTGGATCACGAACTTCGCCATCCTATCCCGAACTTTAACCATATCGTAACTCCACAATGTTGCATCATTCGCCATTGTTGTTTGATTATGTCCCGGCCCAAATTTCACCGCGGGGCATCTTTTGGTCATATGAGTTTTCAATGTCGAATTCCCATCTTCATTAAAAAAAAGCACCACATTTCTTGCATCGCGCTTTTTTTATACCGTTCGACATTACACACAAGTCATAGTTGCACCAAATAGCCGGATTTCTATTTGTTTCTTTGATGCTAACAACGGTAAGATTGTTTGATGAATCTCCAACATCAACGGAAGCCGAATCCATTGTTTGAATTAAGAGAGTTTTTTGAACTAAGAGAGGTTTTTTGAGGTTTGGTTAAGGTAAAGTTGAGAGCTAAACATCTAATACATATACATACTAAAAGGAATGGATAATATGGTCAAAAAGGAGCCAAAATCGGGTCTTACACAACCTCAAACGGCTATAAAGCCGTTAGAAAGAAACAAAAAAACGGGCAGAATTCAAAAACCGGTTCACAGGCGGTTCACCAACGGTAATATCGGAAGCCGGTTCAAAACCGGTTCAGACAAATTCGGTTCCAAACCGGTCTCAAAGGTTGAAACATCGAATTGGTTTAATTCGGCGGTTCGGTTCACATGTGAACCGGTTCAGGGCTAAACCGGTTTTCGGTTCAGCTACCGGTTCGGTTCCTGAACCGGTTTTTTTGCCCACGCCTACGGTGACCCATGTTGCACACCTTCGAAAGACACCATGATCCTAATTTAATTCATGACATTTATTTATATGTTGCACACCTTCAAAGACGGCATGATCCTAATTTAATTCATGACATTTATGTCTCTTTATCGTTTTAACAAAACACACATTATACATGACATATATGTCATATATGTACTTCATTTGGTACACACGTTTGAAGATTAAAATTGTTAAAGATTGTTTCCGAATAAATCCATACATATGTACCCAATCCAATATATGAAAATCTCCTCTCTCTATTCTAATAAAATCTCTTCTTTCTATTCTAATAAAAGAATAGTTTTATTCTCCTTTTCACATGTGTCATCATATTAGGTCTCCTAATTAATGCATATTTTATTCTTTGTTTGCCATGTGTCACCCTATTATGTCTCCTAATTAATGCATGTCACTTGTCAACCTATTAACTTTGTAACCGTGATTCCCACGGGTTATAAACTAATATAAAATAAATAAAAAGCAACAACGATTAAATAGATGAATGCATCCAACTTCCACTATTGCAATGATACACATTCTAGATATTGGTATAACATATTAGACATAATTGCTCCTACACTATTCTGATCCCAAAACATAAAAAATTCCGACTTCAATCTCCTCAATGTTGCATTTCCCCATTTACAAAAAAGAAAAAGAAAAAGATGAGCCTTCTCTTTTCTTCAAGACTCCTGCCAACAAAGAAGCATCAAAATACATCTTCTCATGATGTAAAGTTTAGCCTTTCGGTCTCTTAGACACCTTCCTAATCCTTTACATGCCATCTTTCTCTTGCTCCTATTTCCCATGGCCTAAGTGTTTCTTGAATGTTTGCTGGTGAATGAATCTATCATATGCTTGAAGTATCTTTAAATATAGGGGACTTTGGGGTGTATATGTGGCCCTCAAATTGGCTGTGAAGAAGAGTCAGTCACTAGCATGGGACCAAAAGGATGCAAAATGTCCCCAAGATAACACGATTGTCTATTTAAAGTAATTTTAATATGGTTTCCAGAACAGAAGCCATGCCTGATAGGGCCATTCCCTAATAGTTAGTCACAATAATTGCATACTTCTGGACCATGGGATTCAAGGGTTCATGGAAGATGAGTGGTATGATTCCAGGAATTACAGATAAGTGGGGAGAGAGAGTAGCCCCATTAACAGCACTAAGATTACAACAAGGCAAAATAATTAAACGACCAAAAGGCAAATGGGATGTTGGAACGTGTATAAAAGAAACAGTTGTTATTGACTAACTCTAGTGTATATAAATCTTGTCTCAAAACAAACCCACCCTAAACTTGGATAAATCAGCAAAAGTGTGGAACCAACATTAATACAATATAGGGTTTCTTCGAGTTCATTATTTAATTAATTAGGTTCAGTTTCTTCTTCCTACTTGCGCAATCTTTCAACCCACTTTTCCTGTAATTTTCAGAAAATGGAAATGGTAAGGGCACCCACAAATGGTTATAAGTTGATGAAAAATCGTAACGAAATGTAAGAGCCTGAGATTTCAAGGCTGTGCACGGCGTAAAACCCTTACACCACCGCAAACTTATCCGTGATTCATGTGAAACAGCTCATGTTTTTTTTTTTTTTTTTTTTATTTATTTATTTATAAAACGTTTATTAACTTATATGATATCAAAATGAAACTAAAATTTAAAAAAAAATATTTGAATTACATTATGGAAATACTAAAACACAATAAATCTATAAAGATATTGTAGTGTTTGATAAATTTTACAAATATATATAAAATGACAAAAACAAAAAAGATAAATTGGTATATGATTGGCTGGTTATGGAAAAAAACGAGGTTACGTTCCATATAGTTTTCAGGGGTAAAGGAGTGACAAAAAAAGGTTAATTGGTTTTTTTAGGGTGAATAAGGATTATTTATTTATTTTTTTCCATCAAAGCATTACAAAAGAGTAAATTACACGAATGGTCCCTATGGTTTAGGGTAATTTGCATGTTTGGTACCTAACTTATTTTTTTAACTTGGAAAATCCCTACTGTTTGTTTTTGTTACGCGCTTGGTCCATGTCTTACCTAAACAGACTATTTTTCCCTTATTTTTTAATTTATTTAAATAAACACACCCCAACCCAACCCCCTCACCTTATCTTACATACCCCATAATTTTTCCCTATTTAAACAATAGTATTTTTAGGTAAGACATGGACCAAACGCGTAACAAAAACAAACAATAATGACCAATTGCGTAACAAAAACAAACAGTATGGACCTTCTGAATTAAAAAAATAAGTTAAGGACCAAACGTGCAAATTACCCCAAACCATAGGGACCATTCGTGTAATTTACTCCATTACAAAAATACAAAATGCTTATTAATGTCACCTAAGAAATTGTGAACCATTACTTTCCTTCACTTTTTATTTTTTATTTTTAATATAAATATAAAATTTAATTTACTAAATAAAATTCAAGATTAGTAGAAATTTAAATTATATTTAAAAACAAGTACGAGATTAATAAAAATAGGAAATTTTCATTAATTAAATTAAAAAAAATTGCATAATAATAGTTAAAACAAGACTAAAACATATTATACTTTTTTGCTATTTTTTCCTTTAATGCTAAAGCCGTTTGAAGGATCTTGATAGATGATAGATGATCGATGTTCATCATTGATAACTGTAAATCTTTAGACTTTAGTTTTTTCCTCGTATGCTTTTTCCTTCATGTACGTTTTTTTTTTTTTTTTTTTCAATTTTCAAATCCAGATATTGTATAAAACTTGAATAAAATAAGTCCAATTTTATCTGTCGCCCGATCTATTTGTTCTTTGATATTGGATCCAGATAAACATGAGAATGAAACTTTATTTTTTCCTTTATCCTTATGTAGGGGGTTGGGGTAGGATTCCGGGTTCAGGTTCGAGAACGAGCGTGTAGTTGGGTTGGGAAATATAAATGGTTTTTTTGATGCTTGCATACGATACAACAAATGCATCCAACAAATGGTTTTATATGAGTTATTCAAATTATATATTAATTTTTCCAACGATTGATCCTTTTAAAAATGGACTGAGGAAGTGTGGTGCAATCTCATCATAGGAGGCCAAAAAATTCGGCAAAAAAAAAAAAGGGATGGTGTTTGGGATTGCTTGTTTAAGGTGTTTATCAGACTAAGGGAGCGTTGTTATGAGCAAGAAGAAGTAATGATGAAGGTTATGACTTATGAGCAATGTTTTTGAAGCTATGAGTTAGTCTTATCTTCGAGTAATCGAGTTACGATTTGGTAAGCTTCCGTCAATAGATATACACCAGGCAACTAAAAGAACTATACATACCAAATAAACTAAGGATAAACATAAGATTTAGTTGATGATTCGAAATCTGATGTCTATTATTATTAATATATTCCTATCATTCACACATTTAATACTTTTATATTATTTTGTTTAGTCTTTAACCACAAACCACTTCCTTTTTAATTTACTTAATTACTTAATTATTTTTTTATCTGTGTTTTATATGAAGGAGATATAAGCCATATGTTTGATGGTGGACTCATGTTTTACACGAAGGAGATATTAGTCAAACGGGATACGTTTTTTTTGACAGAAGCCTTTGAAAATAGCTTCAGTTGCCCACAATCCAAAACACTGTTATTCGTAGAATTATTATAATTCATCAATAACCACCAGGTCATTTACCAAAAAGTTACATTTATCCTTATAACCAAATCACCAAGTCTCTACAAAACAGCTAATTACCAAATTATCCTCAAGTCTAGCAAAATTAAACAAACCACCCTCCAACCCCAAGAAACTAAACCTAGAATGAATTTACAAGGCAAAAAGCCAAAAATACAGAAGAATCTTGTAAACACAAATCAAAATCAGTATCATATACACTGTTATAATAACTTTATACAACTATTTGTATTTTTTTTACATTTACATTTTGCCAACCAAAATAATGCAAAATGTACTATAATGTTACAAGGAACTTGCAAAAAAAAAAAAAAAAATTGCATCCCCACTCGAGTTTCTTCTTTGCAACTTCACAACTACTAAAAGCTATACATCACATACAGGTAATCGCTCCTCAATATTAACACGACAAATAGGACACTTTTTACACTTTTCAGAGCACACACTGCACACACAAAAGTCAAAAGAAATCAAAACACATAACATAACATAACAGGTTGTATGTACAAAAAGACAAAAATGCCCTCATCCTCACTAGGGGTACCTGCAAAGAACCCAATGGCGACAAGGGAGGAGTACTATGCTTATCTCTCTTTCAAAGCAAACCCTACACAGAATTTTTTCCTGCCACAATGTGTTCAAATTAATCATATCATAAATTACTTAAAAGAAAAAAAAGGAGATAAAGATTTATAATTTATACATTTTGAAGTGTTTCATATTCCTGCTGGCTGATTTTCTTGATTTCAGTTTGCTCACCAAGAGCAGCCTGAAGTCTCCAAACCTAAAAAAAGATTAAATTTTTTAACCATGAATTACAATATTCATGTGTATAAATTATAAACTAAAGATTAATGTTTGGTGCTTACCTCCTCAGCAAGATCCTTCTTGGGCATTTTCTTTACTACTTCAGGTGGATATCCACAAAAAGTATTATAACTTCACAGATAACAAAACAAAAACATTAAATAAATCCAAAAATAATATATATTAGTTTTGTGATAAGGGTATAAAATAGCAACATATTTTCTGATTTGTCCCACATAAATAAAAAAGTATACCTAATGACACTTTTTTTTGAAAGTACACAGTACGCTGACCATGTATGTACTAAAAAAAGTAAAAGTAATCAATAAAGTAATACTTATTTCACATAATCATTAAATTTTTAAGTAAAAAAAAAAAAAAAAAAAGAACAGGACTTACCCCGATGCTCCATCGTGGTAAAGTCGTGCCTGTTCTTCTTGACTTTCTTTATCAATAGACCACCAACCAAGCAACCTAAGCATTAAAAAAACATGGTGAATAATTTAAGGTTTTGGTTTTTGGACATTTTTCATTAAATCTTTTTATGTTCACTTGGTTTTTACCTAGAACCATGGTACAAATACCCAAAGCAGTCACGTGCTCTTGCAGAAAAAATAAAATATCTTCCTGTACTGGACCCCGCACGTAGTAAAATGACAATTTTCTCCACCAATCTTGATGCTGAAAAAAGAACTCCTGCTCCTTGAAGTACAAGTAAAGGAGAGAAGACTACCCAAAGAGGGATAAAACTAGCAGCAAAAGGTTTTCTCTGAAACTCAAAGGGACCAATATGTAAATTCAAATTACTTTTAAAAAGTTAAACATTACTTGCTTTTTACTGTATTTGACATGCATTAGACTGGGACTGATGTCAACACTCAACAGAACAAAAGTTACAATCTTTTGGGAAAAAGACGTAAATGCCCTTTCAAGCTTATCATTGAAAAATGCCCTAGAAAGGTTGTTCGGTTGTGTTGTGTGTAAAAAATGAAGCCTAAAAAGAGGTAGAAGATGACAGAATTTAATATACCTCCAAGTGCATACAAAGCAGGATTTGAAAGACAATGATGGGTATTTTGGTAATATGACCACCTATGTCTTGAAGACCACACATTCTATCTTCAGAAATACCATCTGAGGAGACCAGTAAGCCATTATTCCAGTTCAGATATCTGACAGATGTCGATGGATAACTGGCTTCAGGTGTTTGGGAATCTCTGTGAATCGCAGGATTAGACCACTTTGTGCAAACAAGAAATGCAAAGCACTCTGCAATTCTGTATACCACAAACTGCAAAAAGTTAGAAATTAAAAAATTAAAAAAAAAAATGGAATTTTTGTGTACATGAAGGGGAAAATACCCAAAATTTATGAACAAGTCCCACCAACCTAAAGCGCCTATATCACCTGCTAAATTGAAGTAATTAGAAACAGATATGATGTCAAGATTGTTAAAGAGGGAATCATTTTCTTTTTTTTAACATCAATGATAAAACAAATTATATATTTATATTAGATAAAAGATAGTAATTTGAGTGGAATATTACCAGATAGCTTCAGAAGGGTGAATAAGGTAGCAGCTATGAAGAAGATCATGGAGATAGAAACCCAAAAATGCTGAAAAAAAATAAAAATCGAATGGGGGTTTAGTAGTAGTTTTGTAATCAATTTAAGCAAGATTCATGTAGAATTTCATCATAACAACAATGTATAGTTGATGTTTTCTTGTTGCTTAGATTATTATTTTGATAATATTGTTTTAAACAGGACAAAAGATTGAATGGACATTTGACAATTATTTTTGTAATTATCATAGAAAATAAACTTACAGGAAGTGTCTCCCATATTGCATCATCACTCAAATTTTCCTCATCACCTGGTAGTAAAGCTTTGCACATTCTGTACATAAAAGATTTTGGGAGTTAAATATAAGATTAGTCTAAAAGGACATGGAAATGACATCAAGAATTGTAGATAATCACCAACAAAATCCAAAAAAGAAAAGCACCTGATATTATCAATAAGAATTGCTATTTCAAATGCCAACAAGGGAAGAAAGACCATCTTCAAGTTAACAGCAGGAACTTTCATAACTACAAAAAAAAAAAAAAAAAAAAAATCAACAACCTCTAAGAACCTTAAACAACATATAAATATAATATAAACAAAGGATGAAAGACACCATTTGTTTATCAGATTTGCTTACAGCAACTACAATGATAATATGATACTACTAAACAAACTCCAAACCTTTTTTCAATAACAATGAGAGTTTCATTAGATGACAATTTAGATATCAGATAATGTAAGCAAAAGATTGATTCACAAAGCTCAAAAGCATATGAAAATGAAGTAAATAGGTTTCAGTACCATAGACACTCTCCAGAAAGACACAAAGAAGAAGTTCAAATGCAACAAGCAAAGGCATGCCAACAATTGCATGACATGGTGCCCACTGCATAAACAGAGAGTAGGATTGCATAATGCATATTGTAAAACTGGTCTATATTCTAATATATTATACACCAAACAAGTCTATTAATTATATTATAATCCTCTATAAATTTAAAAAAAATAGAACAAAAAGTAGAAAAGCAGATCATAATTCATACATGATGATCATGGGGAGCTGAAGGTGCAGGTAAAGAGAATCTTCCTCTGGCAACAACTACATGAAATATGAAAAGTGGGAAAAAGACAACCCTGCATAATAAAGAAAAACGTGTTGTAAAATAAATGGTAACATCACATGTGGCATGTTAACATAGCCCTGTTTGAAAAAGTCCCCATTATATGACAAGAATCAAACACTTTTGTTGATTATATCGACTACTTTCAATTGATGTAGACTTGATAAAAGATTGGAAAGACCATCTATTCAAGAATCAGTTCCCTGTTTCAAACTTTATAAACCATTGGAAAGAAGATACTCCTTCCGTTCCACAAAAAGGGCCATACTTCTGTTTTATGTCAAATCTAGAACTTTACAAATGCAAAATCAAAAAGAATTTGTAGTAGAGTTAACACCATGTTTATTCTATTTGCAATTATTACTACAATGGTGATATTGTCACAAAATTATCTCTCAGAATTTATACTACATGTCAATTTCGAAATCTTAAAGTAACTTGTAAGACATCGAAAGTCAAAGTATAGCTTCGTTTCCCCCCCTCAAAAGATGGTGTAACTTGACACCCCCAAAAAAATATGTTTTGACTTCATAAAATAAAAATCATGAACAGAAAACCTATAAACATGCAGTAGGACTGTATCCATATAATAATTTTTGAAGTAATCGAAATTAAAGCAAAGGAAAAGTAAAACTGACCACCAAGAGGAGAAGATAAGGTGATCCAATTTGAGAACGAGCAAGAGGGTAAAGCAGAAGAGTAAAGTATGAGCAGAGAAAGCCTGTAGGGACTTTGCTACTCTTCGCCAGCTCATTTTTCTTCTTACAAGCCTGCAAACTCTAGAATTAATGCTTTTTCTCCCGGATAATGGATAAAGATGATGATTGAGATGCTGGAACCCTAGAAATTTCTTGTTTTAAGGACTTTGTGACTTTAAGTTAGGTTTAATGAAGAAAGAAAAAATGGATTTTATTATTATTATTATTATTATTATTATTATTTTATTTATTTATATTTTTAAATCTCAAATTGATGCCGCTAAATTTGGAGAGAAAAACAAATGTTACTTAATTTAGTTAAAAATTAGACAAAATTGCAAGAATGGTCCCTGTGGTATGTCAAAACTAGCAACTTTGGTCCAAAATGGGTTTGGCTCGTAAGGATGGTCCAATAGTTTCGTTTTGTTGCGAGTTTAGTCCAATTTCCTATGAACTTTTTTATAATGACGGATTTGCCCTTATTATTTTATTTTCCATTTTTTTTATTACAATAATTAAAACAATTAAAAATAAAACAAAAATAAATTAAAAATAAAACAAAAATAAAATACCTCTCTCTCTCTCTCTCTCTCCTCCCTATTCCCCCACATTTTTTTTTCTTTTTACCCAAGAACAGTTCATCTTCTTCATCTCTTCCTTCTTAATCAAGATGGGTTTGTGCATACCAGATTCAGGTGTTCCTGGATCTAATCTCCATGATTCCATCATCGCCTCTCAAAAACCCATAAAGCAATGATGAAAACCCAGGAAATTGACTTCATGGATGTTTCGGAAAATTTCTGAAAATTAACGAGGGGTGAGTTTCTGAAAATCGACTCCATGGATGTTTCCAAGGTGGGGTTTTTTGGATATCTAATCGATGTTACCGCCGCTCATGGACATCGTCAATGTATCTCCGTCCGATGGCCTTCATTAGCTGCCTAGCATCCCCGTGAAGATCTGAAAGAGCATCGTCACAGTTGTCCTTTCCGATTATCCCTCTCACCGTCAAATCTGAAACCTGTAACATCCCATTTTACGACCCAAAAATTTTTGTTCTATTATTACCAAAAATCACATCATCAAATGACATACGTACTAAGAACCATAGAATGAGTAACTCAAAAGTCAAGTAACTGTGTAAAAACAAATACTGTATCAATCATATCAAAATATCCGAACAAAACTCCCAGGATAAAACTGAAGCCGTGGTATGTGCGATGCCATCAACCCGAGCTCTTCCCCTTACCAGCGGAAGTACCTGAAACCAAAAACTGAAACTGTAAGCACAAAGCTTAGTGAGCTCCCCCAAACTACACATACCATACAATAACATATAAAACAACTACTGGGCCTTGCCCACTGCATCGGACCGAAGTCCGGAAACTGCATCGGACCGAAGTCCGGGACTAACCAGGGCCTTGCCCTCTGCATCGGACCGAAGTCCGGAAACTGCATCGGACCAAAGTCCGGAAACTGCATCGGACCGAAGTGCGGAACTAACCAGGGCCTTGCCCTCTGCATCGGACGAAGTCCGGAAACTGCATCGGACCGAAGTCCGGAACTAACCAGGGCCTTGCCCTCTGCATCGGACCGAAGTCCGGAACTGACTGAACATAGCATATCATAATCATAATTACTAGCATAAACACATATACTGCATACTACATCAGACCGAAGTCCGGAACACATAACACAAAGACATGCTTGAATCACAAAGACATCAAGCACACCGAACTACTGCATCGGACCGAAGTCCGGAACTACTGCTAACTAAACGCGCCGACATTGTGGCCGTAGACCCGTTCCTACTGGAAAGAAACTCACCTCGTAACGCTGGCTGCTGAGGTGCTAAATCTGAAGCTGGCTGACTGATGCTCCGGAACTCCCCGGCTACACATCCCAAAAACACTAGATCAGATACTGATAACTTCCCTCAGGGTAAAATGACTATTTTACCCCTGGTCAAAGTCAACTCTCAGTTGACCTGACCCGCCGATTTGGGCCGCCAACTCGTCGAGTCCCTGTTCTCATATCTAATTCTCTGCCCGCTACTACTCGTCGAGTTTAGCATAGGATCGACGAGTTCCACTTCGATGCTAATAACCAGTTCATCTTCAACTGACTCGCCGAGTTGTATGAACAACTCGTCGAGTCTGTTCTTAAGGCAAGAAGATTGCCTTGGACTCGCCGAGTCAGGGCGCAGACTCGCCGAGTCCCTCCATTACTAGATCTACGTCTCAACTCACTGAGTCCAATTCCCACTCACTGATTCCACTCGCAAACTCTCAAAAGGGAAATATCGGGGACTCGCGACTCGACTCGCCGAGTCAGAAGAGCGACTCGCAGAGTCCTTAGCATGCCATTACTATTCAGTCGATTCTGCTCGAATCCAGAGCATTCCATTCATAGATCTGGACTCCTAGGGCTGGTCTTACACGTAAAGTTTCCAACTTTACGTGCAAATATGCTAATACGAAGCTTATAAGCCCAAAATAAGCTAAAGGAAGAGATCTAAGCTTGGAATGGAAACTTGGCTCAATAAAGGTGGCAACCTTGAGCTTAAGAGGCTCTGGAAAGCTTAGATCTGAAGTCCATTCGTCATCTCAACTCTTAATTCGACCCTAAAGTCTAGAAAGGGCTCAAAATAACAATAACATGCTTTTTAAGAGATATAATAGATAATAAACAAAGATTCCAGCTTGATACCTCCAAGAAGACTGAAATGCAGCAAGAAATCCGGATCTACTTGCTCCCTCTTGAATACTTCTCTTCTCTCTTCTTCCCAAAATCCCCAAGATGCACTAAAACCTTCACAAGTGAGAAAATGCTCCAAAAATGCTAAAGGACGGCTAGGGTTTCGTATGGGACTCTTTGTGGGTGAGGGAGGCTGGTCTTGGGGCACATAAGGTGTTTAAATAGGGTGAAACCCCCTGAAATTAGGGTTTCATCCAGACTGGTGGACTCGCCGAGTCCGAGAGTATGGACTCGTCGAGTCGCCAACTTAAATCGCGGGCAAAACCCGTCTCTACTCGACGAGTCGGGCTACTGACTCGTCGAGTACCCCTTAAGAAATGAAAATTACTTTAATTAAATCACATACCAGAAATGGGGCGTTACAACTCTCCCCCACTTATCTTAGACTTCGTCCTCGAAGTCTGCTGCTGCTGAATCTAAAAATATCTCAGGGTAATGCTCCCTCATTTCCTCCTCGGCCTCCCACGTTCACTCTGAACCCTTCCGGTGCTGCCACTGCACCTTTACTAACTGAACCACCTTGTTTCTCAAGGTCTTCGTCTTCCGATCTATGATCGCAACTGGCCTCTCGATATAATTCAGGCTGCTATCAACCTGAATATCCTCCAAGGGTACCACTGCTGACTCGTCCGCCAAACACTTCCTCAACTGAGAAACATGGAAAATGTTGTGGATCTGGCTAAGCTCTGGTGGAAGATCCAACCGATAAGCAACCCGACCCACCCGGGCCAAAACCCTAAACGAACCAATGAACCTGGGGCCCAACGTGCCCCTCTTTCGGAACCTGATAACACCCTTCCAGGGTGATACCTTCAGAACAACCATATCGCCCACCTGAGACTCCAAATCCGAACGCCTCCTGTCGGCGTAACTCTTCTGCCGACTCTGCGCAGTCTGCAGTCTGCTACGGACCTGCTGGATCAACTCTGTGGTCTTGAGCACCACCTCTGTACTCCCCATAACTCGCTGACCGACCTCACCCCAACAGATTGGGGTCCTGCACTTCCTCCCGTAGAGCATCTCGAAGGGAGGTCGGTCTATACTGGAATGATAGCTGTTGTTATACGAAAATTCCGCTAACGGAAGATACGTATCCCAACTGCCACCGAAATCTAGTACACATGCCCCAAGCATGTCCTCGAGAGTCTGAATCGTTCTCTCGCTCTGTCCATCCGTCTGAGGGTGGAAAGCGGTGCTGAAATGGAGACGAGTACCCATCTCGTCATGAAACCGCTTCCAAAATCGGGAAGTAAACCGGGCATCTCGGTCTGACACCACCGAGACAGGCACTCCATGCCGTGCCACTACCTCACGCACATAAATATCAGCTAGCTTCTCGGCCGATATACTCTCCTGAATCGGTATGAAATGCGCGCTCTTGGTCAGCCGATCCACTATGACCCAAATCGAATCAACTCCACGTGCGGTCCTGGGAAGCTTAGTGATGAAGTCCATGGTGATATCCTCCCATTTCCACACGTGAATGTCTAACGGCTGCATCTTGCCGTGGGGTCTCTGATGCTCCGCATTAACCTTCCTGCAGGTCAGGCATCTCTCCACGTACCAAGCTACGTCCCGCTTCATGCAGGGCCACCAATAATCGGGTCGAAGATTTCTATACATCTTCGTCGCCCCTGGATGGATGGAGAACCGAGACTTGTGGGCCTCATCCATCAGTACCTGTCGTACTCCTCCCCAGTACGGTACCCAAACTCTCCCATGAAGGGTCAACAATCCTCGACTGTCATAGTCAAAGGAAGCTACTCGGCCCACAATCCTCTCACACTTCTGTCTCTCCTCCTTCAGGCCCTCAACCTGTGCCTCTCTGATCTGCTCCAACAATGGAGTAATCACAGTCATCCTCAAACAAACATCCCTGATCGGGGCTGCTACCGCCTTGCGGCTCAGGGCGTCGGCCACTACGTTGGCCTTACCTGGATGATAAAGGATCTCACAATCATAGTCCTTTACCACATCTAACCATCGATGCTGCCTCATGTTTAGATTCGGCTGGTCCATGAGGTACCTCAGACTCTTGTGATCCGTGTAAATGGTACAGCGGACCCCATAGAGGTAGTGTCTCCAAATCTTGAGGGCGAACACCACCGCCCCCAGCTCTAAATCGTGTGTCGGATAGTTAGCCTCGTGAGGCTTCAACTGTCTAGAGGCATAAGCTATTACATGCCCTTGCTGCATCAACACTGCTCCCATCCCTGTGATCGAAGCATCACAATAGACTACAAAGTCATCCACTCCCTCTGGCAGGGTAAGAATCGGCGCCTCACACAAACGTTGTCTGAGGGTCTCAAATGCTGCCTGTTGCTCAGGCCCCCAGCGAAACACCATCGACTTCCTAGTCAGTCGAGTGAGCGGAACTGCTATCTTGGAGAA